GTAGGGTACACCTCACTTTGCTCTCTTCGACTTTTCTCTTAGTCGCCCTCCTGGGTCATTCCCAACTTCCCATGTACAAACTCATCGATTGGTTAATCCTAATGACTGGACAAACTAGCATCTTGTCGAATATGTTCCGTTGCTTGGACTATGAAGGCAGTTGGAGGAGGTGCGATTTGGAAGGGGGTAGTTCACAACACTCAGTATTAAATGCCTGCTTACAACAAGTAATTTTACTCGAACGGTGCCTTGGGTGATGAATCCCTCCAAGAGGGATGCTGCATCGGGTTAGGTGAAATACGGGAGGATCCACTTTTCTTCACAATCCTTTATGGAGGAGTGGCTGTCACTGTAGAAGATGATTGGAAAGGTGAGCGTGAGGGACAGCCCTCACTTGCGTAAGACTTGCAAACCAACTCTGAGTGGGGTGATGAATGGGTGTGTTAGCACAGGGATCACGAGGGAAGATGATGGGGCCGTGGTAGAGGGTGTGTTGCTAGCCTAATGCCTGCCAACTGGTTTAGATTAACACATTAAAGTTAATAAACTTAAAAGACTGTTACCTTCTTGTAACCAATCAAGTGAGTACATAATGTGGTTATTGTGCTTCTGTAATTTTGTATCTCTGCGATCTCATCATCCACTTACCATCGGCTCACTATCGACACTTTTAAAGCATACATCTCTTGGTCCCCACAAGGCTTCTCTATGTGTGTGTGGTGGTGGCGTGCTGCAGACACAGTCTTTCATTAGGGTTCGTTTACTTACTGGAATACAAAAAACAATTAATGGAAGCCTCTATCAACTCGATGCGATACGGTACACACGGATCCATCGTAGAGAGGAACAAGATCCACCCTTTTCCGCAAATATCAAAGAAGTGTGGAATAGAGGGAGAGATAGGGGGGGTTCTGCTACACCCTCATCCCCTTCTTGCCTGTTTCAGTGAGCTCCACAATTTATCACCTTTGAATTACCATTAGACAATCTCATGTTAGCATACGAACTAGGTAGTTTTAGAAACCGATGTGGTTAGAGTCAGATTGTTTTTGGCTTTAAATGATAAAATACATTTTTCAAGGTGGATTCACAGTCTACTTGTGTCGCCATTTCACTTAATTGCTTATAAAGGAGGGCTAGCACTTCCAGATATTTATTTTCACAGCCCTTGCAAAAACTAATCTCAATTTATCCCTCCCTCCTTTCTTTTTTAACCGACAATCAGCCCTGCTTTTGGACAGACAGGAATCTGCATTCCATGATATGTCAAATTTCCTATCACTGAAGGGGTTTACTTTTTACCAGTACGCAAAAATCCAAATCTAGTGAGGCCGGTGATGCTGATTAATAGTGAGAAGGAGGTTCAGTAATTCTTCAGCCTGGAAGCTTGTCTCCCTCTGTCATTCTCTCTTCATATTTTACTCTATTGTTTGCGTTTGCCTTTGGCATCACCTCGAAGTGAGGCTGCTAAACGATTCTTTTGGATTGGTCAACAAGGCGTCGTAAGTAAAGTTATCATAAGGGGCATACATATGAGGAGAAAAGGCAGTCCCATGCTCTTGTGTGTAGATGAGGCGATTTTGCCAGGTCCCGTCAATACAGCAGTCGCAAAACAAAATGTGGCGGGAAGAAAAACGCAAAAAAATGGTAAAGGTCAGTTTTTTAATTCCTAAATGTGGCTTTATTTAGTTTTTTCCTCACCTTCTCAAAGTTCTTCATGGTTGATGCTTGTTTATGTGGAATGGAATTTCGGACGCGAACCGGGACTCGGACTCACCGACCTATTAAAGCCTTCTAATCGTCATTACTGGTGACTATTCTGTGTTATCATGGTTGAAAGCATTCGCTCCTGCTAGTAGCGTAGATGGATGTTTGTTTATTGCTATGTGAGTCATTGAAATTTACGCATATAAACACACACACATACATACATAGAAGAAAGGCAAAGCCATGCTTAGTCAGCCTGCTTATGTACATTGCTTAGCTTATACGCATACAAAGACAGGACTTTTCTTGTCAAGTTAAGCGTAAAGCACACAGTGATAAGCTCTCTGGAGTGCGGGGTTAAATGCCACACACTACATACTAGCACTCCTCCCTACCCTCCTCCTCCACCTCCTCCTCCCCTCGCCCTGATAGCAATTCCTGCCGAGAGGCTGAGAGGCACTTGCCCAGCTCTCGCTCTTTCCCTCTTCCTCTCTCTCCCCACTTCCACTCTCTAATTAATATGTGTAGCCATGAGTCATGCTTTAATGTCCGTCATATGCAGCCTTGTTGTGTTTGTATGCATGGTCTTGCAAGCTGTAATTATTTTTCCTCTCTCATAACAGATAATGAGGCTGCTTTGGGTGGCCATGTTCTAACCTCTTCAGTTGGCAAAACGTGTTCACAGTCATCAGCAATCCAATCTATAGCCTCTTTTTTGGGTAATTGTGCATAACATCAAGTTAGTAATGCCCGGGTGTGTCGCGTCCTCCTTCAAAGCTAACCGGGAGGAAAGCCATTAGCATTGAACCCCCTAATCTTCACTGAATCCAGAGCCAAGTACGAAAGTGTAATGAGGCGTATAAATTACCACTATTGAATCAAAATAGTCAAATTATGTACAAGCATAAAATGGAACAAATTTAGGTAAGGTCATAACACTTAATTGGTTATAAGTAGTATGACTGGACGAATCATTTTGAACCAAACATAACCTTTACATTCATTTTTTTATTCTTGTGGATCAAATTAATAGTAAATAATATGGTTTCTTATAAAAGAAGCACTCGTTTTCATTTAAAGCAGCTGAGATGTGGCAAATGCGCCTCAACGTATTTGCCTGTGGACGAGACTCAGGCATTTACCTTAGGTGGCGGACAGACGAACGATCAAAAGGTGATTGTGTTAGCTGGGGTACCCGCGCCTACCCAAATCCATTCATTTTAATGATTAGCTAAAGTAAATGTTGATAATCTTATTCTTACTTTGGAATTGTCCACCCATATCAGTAGAGAGAGAGGGCTCATAAAACTGGGGCTTATCGTGCGTGCTGCAGTGCTTTAATAACGGTACCTAATGTAGTCACCCATTAGGTAGGTACTTTCGGGTAAGGTGAGTCATTGATTCCTATCTATTCACGCGAAATACCATTAGGATTCCCTAAAACACATTAAAGTTGTCTTTTTTCCCTCTACTGTTTCAAAAGGCGGGTTTTAATCGTACGAAGAATCTAAAGCACAGGACTTGTCAAAAGCTTGGCCATTTATTCTGAGAACAATAAAGAGAGGAGAGATAAGGCACTGTAGTGAGTCAAGTCCCCAATTTGAGAGACAGGCAGACAGGCGGGCCAGACGGATAAGTTGCGGTGGTGGTGGGAGAGGAGAACCGGAGGAAATTTTCGTACTATTGGGAATAATGAGTCCCAATTTAAGCTTCCTCCGGAGGATGCAACAACCCTAGTCTTAGCTTCTGTACCTTCAAGTACGGTGCTGTTGGTAGCTCACTCATTCAATGCATAATAAATGAGGGCTTTGTGAGTAATGTGCTTCTATGGCGCTTCAGTACGCTACCAGATAGATTGAAAATAAATTCTTAAATGAGCGGGAAATCCTTTCAAAATTCCACTTCTAATCTGGTGTGCAGTGGGGTTATTTTCCCCATCTATTCCGTTTATTTGCCCTCGGACATGTTGCAAAGCCTCCCTGAACGTCAGTCAGCGTCAGGCTATTAAACCCTGTCACCTCTGGTTATGATTCTTCGCGGTGGATTGCGTTAGTAATTGTTTAATCGGGTTCCGCTTTTCGACGCATTGTCATGCAACATTTTGGCTGCAGTCTTAAGGCCTTGTTCCACCCTGGACAATGCATTTTATGAACACTTGTGACACGAGGAAGAGACTGATACCATTCTCGATCTCGTATAGAGACGACTACGATATCGAACTTGTGCATGGGGTAACTACTAACCCAGAGGTGCAGTAGAATTCTCCACCCTTTCATCCGGAGTAGCCACAAATTCACTCGTCCATTGTGGAGGTCTGCTTAATTTATTTGGACTTAGGTCCTCCATGAAACAGAATATGCCCTTCTGAAGAAGGAGTAACAGGTGCCAGGTCTAGTCCACTACCCCATCATTGATAAAGGATAGGAATTATGGCTAAAAAAAATATCACAAAAAGGTTAAATTTAACAATGAGCAAACAGAATGATCAAAAGATTGTGTGAGGAGGCCACAGACGTGAAGAAGTAATTTAGCTAACCAGCTCCGAATTAACACGGTTTTATTGACATGACCGGACACTTTTGGGCGAGATGCCGTCAATAGCCGTAAACCCCGTGACTAAGTGGATGTCATCGGCCCCTGAGAAGAAAGCTAAATCTGAGCGCATATGAACTTGATTCCCTGTACCCATTTTGCAGAATTATGAAATAAAAGATGTTCTCATCTATGCAGTCTTCTCGATTCAAGAGAGTAAAGGTAGAGGAGGAAAAGTAAACATTTAACCTCTTGCATATTTGGGAAAGGATTTACACTTATGTCGTCTACGGATGCCTCTTTCAATGGTCATGGGGAATTTATCAGGCCGCTTTAAAATCCAAGTGGAGATGAAAAAAAGAACAAAAATGAGTTTTTAACGAGCTAAATAAGTGCGCAAGTACTTGACTCATTAACTTGGTGAAGAGAACGGTTTAATTGCTGTTGTAAAGGCTTGTTGTAACTTGTTGGGACCAGGAAAGTGAGTTCATTTGTTTGGAAGCCTGCAGTATAAATCATTGTTGAAATGTGCATCACTCCAGCAATAGGGTACTCCTCTCCTACTTTCCTCTCGACCATTCTCCTCTCCCGAGTCAATGACTCTGCTGACCACTCAAGCTAGCATCTCGTCAAAAGCGGTGTGCTGTTTGGCATGTGGAGGCAGTCGCAGGAGGTGACATAAGATGAGAGGTACAGTTGCAAAGCACAACACCTAGGATCAAATACCCGCCTGAGACAAGTAATTTGACTCGGGTGGTGAATCATTCCAAGAGGTGTCGCACCAGATCAGGTGATGTATAGGATGATCCACCGTTCTTCACCACCTGAGTAATAACTAAGTGATGATCTTGGCGAAATGTCTGTCGCTATGGCATGTGTGAGTTTCATGAGTAAAAATTGGCAAGACAATAGTGAGTGAAATGATACAGGAGTGTAGTCACACCGACATCACGAGGGCAAGTGGTGGAGGTCGTGGTAGAAAGTGAGACACTAGACAAATGTGTCATATAACGTGCATTAACGCATGACAAATAGTAGAATTCAAAAACTACTACTTTCTCTTCTCCACTTAATTCATGTGCGTTATGTTATGTCTATCTCTTTATGTCTGCCTACTCAATAGGTTTCGTTTGAATGCAAGCAAAAATTTCAGTCTATAAACATCTGTAACGGTCAAGACTACTCAGTCAGACTTTCCACTTCATATTGTAGACACTAAAATGCATGCGTGGGAGGAATGTGCACTTCAGTGGGGGATGGAGGGCATTGCCTTCACCCTCACCCGTCTTCTCCATATTCTCCTGACGGTCATCTTTTATAGACATGTCTACCTATGACATAGACAACTCAAGAGTTGTCGTGAGGTGTAAAAGGAGGTGGTTGATGTTGGACTTTGTGCTTTGAAAGACAAAACATTTTAAACCTCCATCACTTTTAGTAAAGATGGCGTACTTTATTTGCCAAATTGTAGAAGTGCATTCAGTTACTTTTACTTTGAAGTGATTAAACTTGAAAATGAAATAATTAACCGCCGATTTTCCCCTCTGATGAGGGTTTAAAGATATCACGACTTTCTTTAAGTGCCCCCAGCCTTGTTGACGCAGTTGAGGTGGGTGGGATGCAGATTTATTCCACGCTACATTGATGCATTACCTTGCGGCCAACACCCTTCTCTTTGCTGCCAGAAAAAGGGCATGTATATGTGCGTTTAAAGGGTGATAAGAGCAGAACAGTCACGTACGTGATGCATACACTTATGTAGACTATTTGTCACCCTACGCACTTACACACACACATAATAGAAGTGAACCACTATCCCCTCAACCATCTTCTTTCTCTTCTCCCGCTATGTATAGTGCCTTAGGGGATAATAACACTAACAGCTTTCGAAGATTAATCAAGCAAAGGGGTAGAGGGAGTGCGCAAATACAATATATAAACATTCCAATATTCCTTCTCCCTAGCTCTCTCGCTTGTGATTGTATTTATTACCCGCTCTCTTGACATATAAACTAAATTTCAAACCTTTCACTTTGTGTGTGTATATGTATGTGTGTAGTTGGCTCGTATATTTGTTTATATTTTGCTGCCTAAACATACCTAACTCTGTTTGCATGTAAAGAATGCGTGCACCTACTGTGTACATGGGTATGCATATAGCAAATTACAAGTGACCATTTGCATGCACACATACACCATGTGGTGCCTGCTTTGCAGGGTGTAGTGTAAATAAAAGATGACTATCACCCTTTATGCTCTGTACATACATTAGTCTTTGGTGTCTCAGTCAGCAAATTGACTCAAATGACTATTCACCGACGCCTGTGACTCTAAAAAGGGGTGGAGGTAGGAGGACCTTTCAAAACTGTTGGTCCACCAATCTCCTCTCCTCAAGCTCTTGAGTAGTGTGGTGCAGCTCAAATAATGCATAATAAAACCGTAAAGAGTACCCTATAGCGAGAGACTGATGGTGGCCTACTCTTC